ACTACTACACACACACACATATATATATATATATATATATATATATATATAATATATTTGTTATTTTAGTTGTCTGTCCATGCAGTTTATATGTACTCCGGAACTAATTTTTTACAGGGTATTTTCATCTCTTGTATAACTGAAAATGGAGTAGCTGCCAAAGATGGGAAGTTGAAAGTTGGAGATAAAATTTTGTCTATTAACGGAGTGGATGTTGAAGATGCCCGTCATGATCAAGCAGTTAGCATGCTCATGGGACTGGAGAGATTTGTCCGACTCGTTGTTCAGCGAGATCACGTAAGACCACAAGAAAAAAACTCTTCTTTTATAATCAGAATGGTTTAGTGTTCATTTCATACAATTGAAAACAAAATTGAAGTTTGCATGTAAAATATAAAATGTTATATATTGTACTGATACTGATACTATTTGATGACTTTTTTTTTAATTATTGACCTAATTCACTGGGGCTTTTGTGTGAAATAATTTAAAAGGAACAAGAAAAGACGTTTTTACTGAAAGTCATGCATTTACAGAAAATCCATTTTTAAACGTTATATATATAAAAAAAGACAGTGCAAGTCATTAAAAATTAAATTGTGTTCTGCGACGAGACATTTACTAGGTACTTTAGGTAATGGCGTTACACTTTAATCCTATCGTGAGCAGTGTGAACTTTCAAGTGTCGAGTGCACCCTGCATATAAAAGTTTAGTACAAATAATTCTAGCTATATTTTCGACACTTTTTTAACTCCAAAAGATCTTAAAATTTATATTTTTGTCATTTTATAGCATCTGTGTAGTTTAATTTGTAAAGAAAAATCAAGAAAATACTCCAACCTTTATTTGTGAAAAGCTCTATGAATAAATGGTGCATTTATCAATTAAAAAAAAAAATTTTCAAAGTATAGGTTTATATTTGCTACGAAACTACCGTTTCTTGGGAATATAATTATTCTTGTCTTGTTTTTTCAGGCCAGAAAGGGTTAAATAAATGTGAAAGTCGATATCAGATATGATGTATCAAAAGCTATTTGTGTATAATTAGGAAAAATACTTTGCTCTTGTGGAAGCACAGAAAAGTTTTTTGCCAATAAAGAAAAAAAATGTGATTTAATTTAAAGATCTTTAACCAAATGGTCATCTGGTAATGGTTGTACCGATATTTGATATCGTTTCACTTGTATATTATTACTATATGAAACGATTTTTATAGCTCACTTTGAAGGTTGATTGCATTTTAAACTGAAATCTGTATTAATGAACTTTTCGTTGTCTTTCGTATTACGTGATACAAATCTTTCATTATGTTTTGATGATCATATACAATGTTATGAGCTAAATAATAACTTAGAAGTTCGATTGGTTTTTTCTTTTTGCTTATTAAATTGTGTTAGCTTTTCGATCTTATTGGTGATCTAAGATTTTGTGTTTTCTTTTAAGCTTTTATTGGTATTATTTAATCTGCTATTGGTCTCGTGTTGTTGATTTATTGATTATAACTATTTTTATTTATAGTTAGTCCCTAAAGATCCCAGAGAACCAACTAAGGTTGTCTCTGAACCTACTGAAAAATCTGCTAAAGTGTTCGGGATGCCAAAGCCTTATACCAGCCTCTATTCTGCAAACTCATACATGGCCAACAGGCCATCATATTTAGGCAGCTACAAAACAGATGGACGCCCAATGTATTCCATTTATACTAAGTTACCTGGCCTGAGGAATGAAACAATAGGTTCATCATCGTGTCATACCACCCAAACTACTACTAATGTGACTAGTCCAGCAGTGCCCCCACTTTCTCACCCTACTGTTATTACCACTTCCTCACATCCACAACTCACTCAGACTACGTACACCAGCAGTCCAATCCAGGGGCCTGAGAATGTAAACCATGTGCCTCTCTCAAGCATACAAGAAAGGTTTTCTAACCCTCAAGCCCAGGTCATGTCAGGTCATTCACATCAGTCTGAACCAGTTCATTTACAAGACTCTGATATTGTGCATTCACAACCACCACAAATTTCAGCTTCTGAACATTTTAACTTTGAACCTCGGGTACACTTATCTCATTCACAACCACCACAAATGTATGGCGAGTCAACCCAAAATGTTCCTTCACACCCATCGGCCACAGCAGTCTCAGACTTGGCTGAAACCAGTTCAACTCCTCGACTACCTGGTCCCCTAGTAACAGTTACCATTCAACGGCCAGATCCTCCCGTTCCAATCGGACCCGAATTTCCCCCTCCACCCAAAGGTCTTGGAACCTTTACAGAAACCATTACTCGATCAACGTACACAGAAACTGTTAGTACTCGATTTACCAACAATATCCTGGCTCTACCTGCTCCAGTTGAAGAGGTTAGATTTTCTGTGAATGTTTATGATGCTTTTACTTTTCTTCCTTTTTTAATGACTACTGTGCCATGTGACTTTTCTTCATTGCACATCTAAAAAATCATGCTTTTTCTTTGTAAGCCTATTCTTTAAAACCTAACTTTTTTCTCTTCATTTGAAAAGAATGAGTTATATGCTTTGAATAAGTATACCTTTTCTAAGATTTGGCCTATTAATATGAGAAAGATTAGTCTCAAATATTTAGAAGTAAAAAGTCTAAAATAGCATTTTAGTAGAGAAGTTGTTTTCTTTTTACTCTTTACACGTCTTCCTCTCTACTGTTACTGTAACTGAACAGTCATTCCTATTTGCTGAATAAATGTAAAATCCATTACATTTGATGTAACTGCATTTAGGTGATGTGTCTTTAAGCTAAGAGAAAACTGTTCTGACTAATAATAAACCAGTTTATATACGCAGAATTTGACAGTAACACGAAAAGCGTGTGCATTGGTATTAAGTAATGAAATTAGGCACATTTATATCTAAAGCAAGACTTTTTGATTTATGACTAACTCTTCCACTTTTTGTAATATTCAGCTTTAGTAGGTTTTGATTATTGTGACAGTAAAGTTTTTTAATGTAAATTTCGTCCATTTTATAATAATAATTATTTATATATATATCTGAGATCATTTAATTTAATTAATTGTCTTCATAGTATTGGTTAGTGTTAAACTTTTCCAACAAGACTGATTATACGGCTTAAAATTTTAACCAAATTTCTTCTGTAACCAAGGGCAAGAGTCCAAAATTGCTAAAGATTTATTTCACTTTGTTTCAGGATGTTAAACTCATAAAAGCAGGAGGTCCCTTAGGTCTCAGTATCATAGGAGGTGCTGACCGTCCATGCCATCCATTTGGTCAAGGCGAACCTGGAATTTTCATTTCTAAGGTACAGTTTATACCTAGATTTAAGTTAACCTAACTAAATTTTGTTGTCAGAATTTCGTACGAATCAAAAGTTTAAGAATCGTGTAAATTTTAAGAAATTGAAAAAGCCGTAAATATTTATACCAGTTATTTTTAATAGGAACATTATCCATGTATCATAACAGAATATAAGTACTGTCAGTTGTTTAGAAACAGTTTTGTTTTAATTGTATAAGAGGTTTTCATTGGAAATAATGCTTGGTCATGCGTGGACTGTACTCTGTCCAGAAGTACTGAAAAAAAAGTTCCTGCCTTCTGAAACTGCTTGTGTGATTTACAACACATAAATCATTTCATAAACAAATCAGGTCTACATGTATATTTTCAATTAATAGAAAAAAACGTGGGTGTTTCACTTCTTTCTTTCATTTGGATTTGTATGTATTTTTATAAACCACTATGTAATACATTTTTACTGCATATCTTTTTAACATAAACACATATGCATGTTTGTGAAAAAGAAAATTCAAAATTTCATTTATTCAAGAGGTATTTAACATTGTTGGAAGAAGTGTGTTAAAAGTTATTTATAATTCTCGATTAAGTGTGTCAGAACAGTTATTTATAGTTCTTGGATTAAGTATGTTAGAAGAGTTGTTGAATTAAGTGTGTTAGAAGAGTTGTTTACCATTGTTGGATTAAGTGTATTAGAAGTTGTGTATCACTGAGAGTTAGAAGAGTTGTTTACCATTGTTGGATTAAGTGTATTAGAAGTTGTGTATCACTGAGAGTTAGAAGAGTTGTTTACCATTGTTGGATTAAGTGTATTAGAAGTTGTGTGTCACTGAGAGTTAGAAGAGTTGTTTACCATAGTTGGATTAAGTGTATTAGAAGTTGTGTGTCACTGAGAGTTAGAAGAATTGTTTACCATTGTTGGATTAAGTGTATTAAAAGTTATGTATCACTGAGAGTTAGAAGAGTTGTTTACCATTGTTGGATTAAGTGTATTAGAAGTTGTGTATCACTGAGAGTTAGAAGAGTTGTTTACCATTGTTGGATTAAGTGTATTAGAAGTTGTGTGTCACTGAGAGATCAGTTTATATTTTTATAAAGTTTGGTCAGAAGCTCAGGTTACAGGAAAGATGAGTCAAGACCTTGGTTTCTCATACATAGAACAAGGGGTTGATATTTATTGAAAATTCTGACAAGTACTACAAAACATACTTGATATCTACTCATTTATTATTATTATGAAGCATATTTAGAAAGTATTAGCACATTTAAAATAGCAAAATACAGTTGTGTAGTATTATGAAGAGTTATTTATGCTGTTAACAAAAATCTAAACATGGAATCCGATTGGTTAAATATAACTATGAGTGTGAATCATGGAGCTTGTTTTGTTAAATACAAACATAAGTGTGAATCTTGGAGTCTGTATTGTTAACTATAATCATAAGTGTGAATCTTGGAGTCTGTATTGTTAACTATAATCATAAGTGTGAATCTTGGAGTCTGTATTGTTAGCTATAATCATAAGTGTGAATCTTGAAGCCTGTATTGTTAACTATAATTATAAGTGTAAATCTTGGAGCCTGTATTGTTAGCTAAATTCATAAGTGTGAATCTCGAAGCCTGTATTGTTAGCTAAATTCATAAGTGTGAATCTTGGAGTCTGTATTGTTAGCTATAATCATAAGTGTGAATCTTGGAGCCTGTATTGTTAGCTAAATTCATAAGTGTTAATTTTGGAGCCTGTATTGTTAGCTATAATCATAAGTGTAAATCTTGGAGTCTGTATTGTTAGCTATAATCATAAGTGTGAATCTTGGAGTCTGTATTGTTAGCTAAATTTATAAGTGTGAATCTTGGAGCCTGTATTGTTAGCTAAATTCATAAGTGTGAATCTTGGAGCCTGTATTGTTAGCTATAATCACAAGTTTGAATCTTGAAGCCTGTATTGTTAACTATAATCATAAGTGTAAATCTTGGAGCCTGTATTGTTAGCTATGATCATAAGTGTGAATCTTGGAGCCTGTATTGTTAGCTATAATCATAAGTGTGAATCTTGGAGCCTGTATTGTTAGCTATAATCATAAGTGTGAATCTTGGAGCCTGTATTGTTAGGTAAATTCATAAGTGTGAATTTTGGAGCATGTATTGTTAGCTATAATCATAAGTGTGAATCTTGGTTCCTGTATTGTTAGCTATAAACAAGAGTGTGAACCACGAAACCTGTTTTATCAACTATAAACATGAGTGTGAACCATGGAGCCTGTTTTATCAACTATAAACATAAGTGTGAACCATGGAGCCTGTTTTGTCAACTATAAACATAAGTGTGAACCATGGAGCCTGTTTTGTTAACTATAAACAAGAGTGTGAACCATGGAGCCTGTTTTGTCAACTATAAATATAAGTGTGAATCATGGAACCTGTTTTATCAACTATAAACATAAGTGTGAACCATGAAGCCTGTTTTATCAACTATAAACATAAGTGTGAACGATGGAGCCTGTTTTGTTAACTACAAAGAAGAGTGTGAACCATGAAGCCTGTTTTGTCAACTATAAATATAAGTGTGAATCATGGAACCTGTTTTGTTAACTATAAACAAGAGCGTGAACCATGAAGCCTGTTTTGTCAACTATAAACATAAGTGTGAACCATGGAACCTGTTTTGTTAACTATAAATATAAGTGTGAACCATGGAGCCTGTTTTGTCAACTATAAACATAAGTGTGAACCATGAAGCCTGTTTTGTCAACTATAAACATAAGTGTGAACCATGAAGCCTGTTTTGTCAACTATAAACATAAGTGTGAATCATGGAACCTGTTTGGTTTATCATAAACATTTTGATTTTTTGTTTTTCTGTTGAGCATTATTAAGCTGTAATTATAGTCTATAAAATATTTTTTTCAGCCTAGTAGTTGGTAGTCTGTAGCTACAAATTAATGATGCTTCATTTGTAAACTTAGTAAATAGAGTGTTGATGACTCTGTTTCTTTCCTATAGATTGTTCCTAACAGCACTGCTGCAAAGTCCGAAAAACTACGTGTAGGAGATCGGCTGCTGAAGGTAAAATCTAGAGTTGTGATATTTGAAAGCAGAACATTTTAAACCAAACTGTTTGTTGAATTAAGTTATGAAAAAAATATATAGAATGGAATTACTTGTATTATGTGAAATAACAATAAATCCAGTTTGCGTTTTGAAAGGAAAGTAGAGATTAATGTTTGTAATAACAGGATGGCTTTAATGAAATAGCATTATGTAAGATGTCATTGAGTTTAGGATGTGTATAATAAATTTTTTAACTTTTAATGCTTTTAATAAACGTGAGACTATTCAAGTTTCAAAGTAATTACAAGAAATAATAGTGTTGAATAACTGAGTTTAACTTAAATGTTTTATTATTTAGTGTTTAGTCAAGTGTTCTGAAGAAATGAAACATGGTGATTTATTTTACATATTGAAACAATTGTATATACAGAAACACCAAAGTTCCTTGCAAGTTATAAAACTAGATAACTTATATCACAATCAGGATCTTAAGATATAATCCAATTATATGAATATAAAAACAAGTATATCAGAGAAAATATTGCAACATTAGCTTCACTGGAGTTGGAAATTTCAACTCTCAACTAATTGTCTTGACAGTGTTTACAGGTGTTTGCTTATACAAAACCTTTTGGCATAAGTTTTGTTTAATAAACAGTGACACTCTTGACATCCTGATTGCTCTATGTTGTGACGCTCTTGACATCCACATCCTTCTGCATCCCAAAATGATCTTACATCCTCTCACCCAAAGCTATCTCAATCCTGGACTGCCCTCTAAGCATTGCTAAAACTTTTCACTAGCAGCACACCAGCCTTTTGTACCCCAATAAGTTTTGCACCATTTCAGAACATGTGTTGATCATGTTACTACCCTCCACCAATCATAATGCCCCCTTTATACTAGTGCAGCTAGCTCCCTCTACTACTCTAGAATAATCCTCACTTTCTCAATTGGCATTCTAGTGTGTAAACACGTTTTAACTTGCTCTCTATGTAACTAGAAAATTTTGATTGTGCTAGATCACAAGTTTATATCAGTTTCAACTTCGAGTTTTGATTCTTCTGTTTGATTTCCATTGTTTCTGTTTTCCAAATTCTAATGTGTTCGTATAAATTCAAGATTTAATATGGCGGGTGATGTATTTTCCACAATAGTAGACAGTAGTTCTGAAACAAGTCTCGGGGTCGACATTGTCTGCTTGAAAAGTACAGACTTTAGATTGCAGGGGGTTTGTGTCTTACATTCGGTCGACGATGTCTTCCTTTCACGTTACGATTTTTAGTGAGGAAGGATATAACTACTGAGTGACAATTTCTTTCTACGGCACTTTCCACCTGATAGTTGGCCTCCATTTATTTCCTTGGTTAGGTATTGTTCTTTTTTCCCAGGAGATATGTGGTAAGTTTTTCAGTATGTATTCCTCGCTCCCAGTAGATATACCCATGTTTAGCTAGTTTATGTGGACTTGTGTGGATTAACCTAATTTCCACCTGCAATAATTTAGGTCTTTTGTGATTTCTCGGTATTTAGTAAGTTAGATTTTTATAATTCTTTTACCATCTAAGTTACTTTAGTTTAAAGTTGCATTTAGAGTTTGATTATTACTTTGTTTTTGTTAAATTTTCAGTACATGTTTGAGTTTTTCATGACAGTTACTGTTTGGATAATTGTATCTTTGAACAAGTTTGTGGATGGGTTGGTTCATTACTTACACTTCTTTACACTGTTTATGTACTTTAGTTTGTTAAGATCTCTTTTTTTTTTTTTTTACTTACTAGTCACCTCTAATTCACATTTCTCTGTACCATGAAAACCTTGTCATCCACATCTCTGTATTCTGACAATCTTGACATCAACATCTCTCTGTTCTGTGAGAACCTTGTCACTCACATCTCTGTATTCTGACAATCTTGACATCCACATCTCTTTGTACTGTGAGAACCTTGTTATCCACATATCTGTATTCTGACAATCTTGACGTCAACATCTCTTTGTACTGTGAGAACCTTGTTATCCACATATCTGTATTCTGACAATCTTGACATCCACACCTCTCTGTACTGTGAGAACCTTGTTATCCACATATCTGTATTCAGACAATCTTGACATCCACATATCTGTATTCTGACAGTCTTGACATCAACATCTCTCTGTACTGTGAGAACCTTGTGACCCACATCTCTGTATTCTGACAATCTTGACATCCACATCTCTCTGTACTGTGAAAACCTTGTCATCCACATCTCTGTATTCTGACAATCTTGACATCCACATCTCTGTATTCTGACAATCTTGACATCCACACCTCTCTGTACTGTGAAAACCTTGTCATCCACATCTCTGTATTCTGACAATCTTGACATCCACACCTCTCTGTACTGTGAAAACCTTGTCATCCACATCTCTGTATTCTGACAGTCTTGACATCCACATCTCTGTATTCTGACAATCTTGACATCCACACCTCTCTGTACTGTGAAAATTCCACATTCACATGGCAGTACCCCAAAGTAAGACGTATATATTCCCATGGCTCTGTAAGGGTTAAAAGAACTGTTTTTTTCGTTTTTTTAACGTAAGTGCTTTAAAAAAGTGAAAGTTTTAAACTTGTAAACAGTGTGTTACTGTGATGAAAAACCAGTTAAGAAGATAATTCAAATTTTTATTTATCTTGTAAGTAAATATAAGTTTTGTTCTGGAAATAACTGAAAAACAATAGCTGGTATTTTAATGAAATTATATGAATATTTGCAAAGTTGTTTTTAAAAACCTTCTAGTAAAGGTGTATTTCTCACCTTAACTGAATATCTGTTCAGGTGAATGGTGATGACATTCAGAAAGCTTCCCACCAGGATGCTGTACTACGATTACTTGAACCAACATATGAGATGATTCTTACGGTTCGACATGACCCACTTCCCAAGGGCTGGCAGGTAGGCCACAGTTTCTCTTTGTTAAAAATTATCTATTAATACTTTTAATATACACGATACAATTTTGTGAATCATGTAAAACGTTATTTAGGGTAATCACGATAACCGAACATTAATGAGTAAGATTCAATTGCAGTGTAAATGTAAATTATACTGAGATTGATGAATTATTTACTGTTCAAACCGAATAACTCTTTCCTCTGTAGGTTTATGATGTTATTTACCCAAATTGTTAAGACTTTTTCTGCTACTGAAGCAGAATAATTTTTTCAAAATGAATGAATAAAAGTCAGTAAATCTCAAACTACAAAGTAAAAGACAATTTGGTTAAAAAAATTAGCAGGCAAACACACACGTACTTGTCAGTCTGCACAAAGAAATGTTTGGAAATTAAGTAGTACTCATGGTTGGTGGACAGTTGTTTTTGTAGTTGTTATTTTTAATGAAGGTTGTGACTATTTACATGGAGATTTTAACATCCTGACTGTAGGATGTAAATGTGTCTTAACTTATATCACTCGCTGTTTAATCAACTCCTATCCCTCCAAAAATTGAAAGCCTTACTTGACTTTAAGGATGAAAGTGGATAGTTAAAGGTTTGTTCATTTTGTTCTACATTGCAATGTTACTCTAAACAGGCTGTAGATAGTTTGTTAAATAGTCAGTGGCTAAATTTGTGTTTGTACATTGTTTATGTTCTAATAATGTTTAAAATTTAAGTCAGAAAATCTTCAAAATTTGTGAACCAAATGAAAAAAAATGGTTTAGAAACCTTCAAGTGTTTATTTGACTTACCATCATAATTTTTGAGATTTAATACTTCAGTTTCCATTGTTAAGTTATCTTTGAGTTATTGACGGTGCTTGCATACAGCATAAAACATTATGTTGATCATGGTTGTATTTTACTTCGGTTGTCAAACCGGAACAGGATTTAAATTTGTGGGTTAAACCCATACAACATGCTGATCAATTATGTGAAATAGTGACATTAATAATAACAAGACAAGCATATGTTTTGTTTTTTGTAAATAAAAGCTAAGCAATCAGCTTATTAGGTAACTAATCCAAGGAACGGGCTTAGCCTAGTAGTTACCGTAAATCCTAGGTTGTTTTTCTTTTGAGTATAAAATATAACATCTAGTACTAGAAAAGTAATGTTTTTAGGGAGGGTCGTGAAATCGTATGGTTCTAAATGTATCTTCAAAATAAAAATAATTATTTATTAGATTCTTTTAGACATGCCCCCAGGTGACTCAGTAGTAAGTCTGAAGACATGTAATGCTGAAAACTGGGTTTCTGTGGTGGGCACAGCACAGACAGCCCATTGTGTAGCTTTGTGATTAACAACAAACATACAAACAAATCTTTTTCATGCTATCAGAAGACAATTACAATAGTTGTTGATAATATTTTAGCCTTTTTTTTTTGTCATTTTAAGAAATATACTTACCTGTATCGTATTGAGTTGTTTATTAATTCTGGATGAACACTTACAGCAGTGATGTTAGGAATATTTGGTTTTTAACATTAATTGTCATTCAGAATTCTTGACATTTGAAATATGTTATTAATATCAATATATACAGTTTCTGAGCACCGAGTCTGGGTGTTTATAGTTACACACACAGACAGTATTGGTCAAAATTTACATTTTTGCTGTATTTTAAGAACGTGTAGGTTAAATAAGGGACAGCTTTTAGTTTAATCCCATCATTCTTCTATAGGCCTCAGTATAGAAAATGAAACATCGTCGCTTTTCACTCAATAGGTATTTGCAGTCGATTAAAGTTCTCAAATCTACTATGTCTGGTTGTGGTAAAATGCTCCAATATCTGTTGTGTTGCACCTTATATAATGCCAAGTTTTGCCACAATATAAGATACGCTCTGTTTAACATGTGTAGATAGATAATTATTACAGGGTCTTCACTTATCACTTCAAATTTTTCTGGTGGCAAGTAAGTTTATTTGGCATTTTGGTTTTTAAGTTTAATAATTTAGGAAATCAGATTCTTATAGCATATAATATCTGAAAAAAAAAAGTAGAACATAGTTAATAGTCCATCCCTTGAAGAAAAGTATTAACAATCAGCAGTTATCTCCAAGTAAGAATAAATTATTGAATTCAAACCAGGAATCCCAGTATACACCAATTTTTACCATTCATCATAATTACAGGAATATTGTACACATTTAAAACTATTGTAGAAGGGTTTTGTTATCTCCGTTGTAACTTGCATTTGACGTTTTTTCTTGTTAACTAATGTTTTTGAGGGCTTTTTTTATTGTAACCACACATATTTTATTGCTGGACACACACACAAACATATATATGAAGGAATACTAGTAATTGCCAGTCTTTTATTAATTAATTTATTTACAAAAATATTACTGATTTATACTTTTAGTCTAGATTAGTGAATTTTATATCACTCAAAAGATAACATTATTTTAATTGTATTGAGATTGAAGATATTAAAAAAAAAAATTGCAGTTACAACTTGTTATAATATTATTTGCATTTTTTCAATTTATTTATTTGTTTGTTACTACTCAGTTTATATATGAACATGTAAAAAAGATGTTATTTGTGTTTTTGGAATTCTGATTTAAATTAGTCCTAAACAGAAATCAACCACAAGTACTTTTATATTGTGCATTTTTATCTCCAGTATGTTCTAAACAGTAGCTAGTTATTCCAGATAGGACAGAAACTTTTACCCAAAAATGTAAGAAGTCGGTAATAATGGAGCTCCTGAGCAATTTCTGCATTGTAACAAAAGACTGAGTATATAATTAATCTCTGGAAAATATAGTACTTAATTTTGATATACAATAACTCTATTAGTCGTATAGCTCGTATGTAAAAAAAAAAAACCTTGCTATATGATAACAGATTTTTATCAAATGACTTGCATAGTATATTCATTTGTACAAAAGGAATTTAACAAGCTCCTCGCATTCGATTGTTTAGCCTAAATATAGGTATTTTTATACATATAGACAGGCTACACATTTAACTGGTCATGGATAGAACAGTTTTATCTTAGTGATAATTTTCATTAGTGTTATATATATATATATTTCTTTGATGTTTAAAGTTGAGTCATCATTGGTCGATGACATTTTGTGTACTTAATAATTGCACATAAAAGTGAAATTTCTGTTACTACATGTAACAGCTGCTCTGTCTGCTGTCTCACCTTTGCTTTCTTCAACATGCTTCTCTTCTGCCTAGAACACGCTATTCTTCGAACCTATGCCAGTGACTGTAAGTAAAGTTGTTGCTGTGGTTTTGTGTTTTATACTCTTTTTGCCTAGAAACTTTGCATGTTGCTTTCGTGATCTCTGGAAATGTTTGCTGGGATTAGGCCTACTGTCAAAACATGTACTTCAGTTGATAAACTTGGTTAAAACCAATGATTAATGTATACTTTCTTCACTGACACTGAAAAGTATTTCTTAAAATTATACCAAACTTGATTTCATTTTAGAAAGAGTTCTTTTAAATAAAATGTTTTGAATACATGTATCTGTAATGAGATAGATACAAAATTAACCTCAAATGTTTGTTGTTTCTACTTTAAACTAGGTAAGCACATTTCATGTTTTTATTTCACTGAAATAAATAAATAAAATATAGTAGTCTAGATTACAAAATAAAGCCTGTATTATGACAAGCTAAGAAGTACAAATTCAAGCAGTATCAACACCCTAAAACTAAGTTAGATATATATGTTTCATTATTAAGGTATCATATATTATTTGTTATTTACATAAAATTTATTACAGTTTACAACTTTTTTTATAAAATACTACATTACAGCTGTAATGCACAGAATACCTGAAATGGTTACTTATAGTTCTGATTCACAAGTAAATGATGCAATTGTTAGTACCCTAATTCTTGTTCACATGAATAGGTATTCTTTATTAAAATCCGAAACATTATTGTAATATAATGAAATGGTTCTTTGAGCACACTTATAGAATTGAGTGATACTGTAAATCAAACTGATGACAACCATGGTTATTCAAGCATAGTGGCTGGGGCACATTATGCAGTTTGCTCGTCACCATTTACATCAAATTTTATATGTAGCACTGGTGCTAATTGTGTTAGTACAAACATTCTGTCGTCTAGTAACCTGATGTCTGATTATTCACCTTTTTAAGCTTTATTTAGCTTTGGTAAGATGCATGTAGTTGAAAAGCTGCATTTTGTATGAAACTCTTAAAGTTTCGTCAAGCAGCATCAGTTCTCAAATTTTTGTAAAATAATTTTTTCTGCTTGTTTCAGCCCTTCTGTTTTGAAGTATTCGTTATTTAAGCATTGAAATTATGAATTATATTACAAAAGTAGATAAGTATTTATTTCCTTTGCTAGGAAATTGTGATTACAAGAGAGTCCTGTGAAAAACTTGGTATTTATATCAAAGGAGGAACACGGAGTCAGCCAGGAAATCCTCTTGATATGACTGATGAAGGAATATTTGTGGCCTGGGTTGGTTATTTCTAAGATATTTTCCTGCTTACATTGATTTACTTGAAAATTTGTTATAAGCTTGTTTTTCATGATCTGTGTGTTATGAAGTTAGAATTAACAGATTAAGTCTGTGTCATATCATGGACTGTATTGTGTACTTATAAGTGAAAAATATTTATTTTGTGTTGTTTCTGAATGTTACATAATTTATTATTTTAGGGTGAAGTAAGTGGTTAGTTCATGTACTCTATGCTCTTTTATTCTCTAAAGTAACAAAATTCGAGCACCTGAGGATTTTATTCGTGGTGACTTTACTGCGTACTCTGGTGATAACTTATTACTTAGAACAAAATGCAGAGTTTTTCCCATATCATGACTAATTTTCTGTTTTGATAAAATAGAATTTGTAAGCCAAGACTGACTCCACATTAAAACACACACACACACATGTGGTGTGTTTTCTGATTTGTAACCTCAGGATTTGGACCATTTTATGCAATACAAGTTTTGCTTAATTCTATTATGGTTATAAAATATTATAAAATCATTTGTTTTATCTAATACTTTGTGGATTTATTAGTAACCAGTTGGTTTATTAGGTACATTTTTATATATTTAAAATATCAATTGTTTCTTAACATACAAATGATATGTGTGAATTTTAATCACATATGATAGGTTTGAAATCATAAGATGTTATGTATATTTATAAATAACTAACAAGTTTACATTATGAACATCTGAAGCCTATTTTATAGACATTAATACTCATTTGGACCTGGAAAGAAAGAAATAAAGATCAGTTATACTATTACATACATACAAGAGACAAGACTAATCCTTTTCTAGAAACAAAATATTTTTGCTACAGTTTATTTATTAATCATATTCAGTGCTCTCCCTGATTATTTTGTGATTTTGGCAATTGTTTCAAAAGAGTAGTGATACAAAAAAATGAAGAAAAAATTACAATCTAGCTCCAAACTTCGAATTTAGTATTTTATTTATTCACCAATATTATCGTACTTCTTATAATCAGTAAAATCAGTCACTGTATAAGTGACAAACATATCTTTTTAAACAACTGTATATTCCCCCTTTTTTTCTGTAAAGTTTGATGATTGATGTCTGATTATTGGATTGATCACAATTTAATGCTTTTGTTTTGACAATCATATATTGCTGCTATTGCCATCATCATCTGTGTAAACATGCTACTGATTATTCATTCAGACAGTCAAATAAATCATAATATCAAGCTTGTTAGTGTAACTGACCAATAAGAACTTGTACTTCTTAAAATGAATGTTGCATGGTCGGGAAGTGTGAACTGTTTGTGTTTCTTTATACAATTGAGGAAATGATGATTTTAATGTTGCATGGTCAGGAAGTGTGAACTGTTTGTGTTTCTTTATACAGTTGAGGAAATGATGATTTTAATGTTGCATGATCGATAAGTGTGAACTGTTTGTGTTTCTTTATACAATTGAGGAAATGATGATTTTAATGTTGCATGGTCGGGAAGTGTGAACTGTTTGTGTTTCTTTATACAGTTGAGGAAATGATGGTTTTAATGTTGCATGATCGGGAAGTGTGAACTGTTTGTGTTTCTTTATACAATTGAGGAAATGATGATTTTAATGTTGCATGGTCGGGAAGTGTGAACTTTTTGTGTTTCTTTATACAGTTGAGGAAATGATGATTTTAATGTTTCATGGTCGGGAAGTGTGAACTTTTTGTGTTTCTTTATACAGTTGAGGAAATGATGATTTTAATTACCCATAAACATCAAAGTTATAAATATAAGATGCTGGGAAAAAAAAATTAGATCCCAAAATAGGATGATCTATAAAAAAAAGAGCAATGAATTTAAAAATTAAAATGAACATAGACTTGTTATACTTCTCATAAAAAAAATTCATTAACTATTTTGATATATACTTGTTTAGATCTTGATTATTTCCTCACCTTGTGTTTCAATCGTATACTAGGTTTGGCTGTTAAGTTTGTTGCCCAAAAATCTGCTTCTGTAGTTCAGAAATGGCCAGGATGACTACTGGTATGATAATTGTTATCACTCTTTACTAATTCTCTCTTAGTTTTAATAAAGGTCAGGTTACTACTAAAATTTCAGCAGTGGTTTTTGTCTATACTGTACAGATTCAGCCTGATGGAGCAGCAGCAAGAGATGGCCGTTTAAAACAGGGAATGAGAGTTATAGAGGTTTGTGTTTTACAGATTGTAGTTACACTCTACAACATATCGTTATGCTAGTCTGTCGGCTGGCTAGGAACCTTATACAATCTAATGTATATTGTAGTAAAATAAAAGCACTCGGTAAAAATTTATTAATATAAAAAAGTACTATAAACAATATTGTAATATAAATACCACAAGTCCTTAAGTACGTGTCAACCTTTATTTCTTGCACAAACAGTGCACTCTAGAATACCTTGCCAGAAATAAATGAAGATTAGTGAAATTCAATCCTTTACAGTTTTTATTTTGAAGCTGTAACACAAGTTTTTTCTTTCAATAATCCATTGTGTTAAACCACGCTTGTCCATTTTTATTGATTATTCCATTTAAGGCATTAAGCTATATGTAATTATAAGTTAGTGCTTTGTAACGGACAATACTTCATAAAATCCAACTCCTGTAACATTTATTTTATAACTAAACGTATAAACGTAATGACTTTAGTTGACACTCAGTAAAAGTACTTGTGTTTAAACCACGTTAACTTAATTTTATTTTAGTTTCATTCACATATTTATGTCTGTTACCCAGTCTTTGGTAAACACATGTATATCTGGTCAACATTAAAGTGTAGCGCAAGTTTTAAAGAGAGTATGAAACTGCTGACTTTTTGTAGAGTTATTAGGGTAATCAGAAATTGTTAAAACGTACTCTCAGTCCTTGCTGAGGAATATTAAATATACGACCATTGCAGAAACTGCTGTTTATGAACTTGTCTGTTTTGAGATTACTTTTTACTAAATAGTGATTAAAATAAATTTAAATGTCTCAAGTAATGTAGCTTTTTTTTCTCATACAAAAATATTTCTTTTGTTTTCAAACTTTCTCATCAATGTCAGTTGAAAGTAGAAAGCCTCAAATATGTATGTAACAACAATCTGATTGAGTTTTCATGATTTGTCACCAGGTGAATGGTGTATCACTTCTTGGTGCCTCCTATCAAGAAGCAGTCCATGCCTTAAAGAACACAGGTGAATCGGTAGCACTGATAGTTTCTGATGGCTACAATACAGCCAGTGTAGAGAGTCCAGTAAGTGATATAAAATCGTCACAGTCTGTGTCTTCCATAGATCGAGAGGATGAAGATACTGCAGTTTTCAGACAGGTTGGAGTTTTTCATGTGTTTTTAAGTAATCTTTAGTAATTTCAAATTACTTGTTTATACATGCATCTGAGTATTTTTTTGTAGCAAGAGGGAATGTGGAGATACCTAGCAGTGCAGCTAGATTTACACTTGGTTACATGGAAGATGATATAACTCAAAACTGCACTTTATCTCTGTGCATTTTTCATGACTGTCAGTTCCCACTGTTTTACAAGAATGGCACTATTATTTTATTATTTCTGTACTGTTTTACTATCATCAGTAGCAATGGTTCTGCAGCTTTGGCCCTCCTTTTGCAAGTTATCCAATATCTTTAGTTCTCACTGTTGTACAAGAATGGCACTATTAATTCATTACATCTGTAATGTTTTACTGTCAATAGTAACAATGTTTCTGCAGCTTTGGCCCTCCTTTTGCAAGTTATTAAGTATTATCTTCAGTGATCACTGTTGTAGAGTAATAACACTGTTCTTATTTAAATGACTGTTTTCAGGAACAAGAAACATTAAAAGAAGCTGCACACTGGGAGAAAGAGGACAGAGAGAATTTGGTATGAATTGTTATTTAATGTTTTAATTTTTATCATCTGTTCATTGAAGCCATGGCAAAATTTCTAAAAGTTAGTGACAGTTTTCAATTAATCTGACTTATTTGGTAACATGATATCTTCAAGTTAATGAATTTCTTGTGGTAAGTCAAAATTATTTCTTCTCTAGTTAACAATTAATCTGACTTATCTGGTAGCATGATACCTTCAGGCTAATGATCTACTAGTAGTAAATCGAAATTTAATTAAATAACTTTTTTATCATCTTATACGAATAAATTTGGCACAAACAAGTAGCTAATAATCCAAATTTAAATAGTATATAAATATTTAGTCCTTAATATTATATGACAATATAAAACAAATTGCAAATTTCCTCTAGTATGACAATTGTGACATTTTCTATCTAGGCATCCCCTCTTCTCTAGTTTATTTACCACCCCTCCAAGAAGTATGAATTTTAATGTCAATTACTTATTATAATGTTGTCATTGCTCAGGCAAAGCATAATTTTATAGCCTTCAATCATATTTGGTTACAGAGCCATCAAAGAGAAAATCAGACCCTCTTGCCATGCCCATCTCTCACTTTCTCTCTTTCAGAAAATGCCAATAGTTCTCTCTGATGTTTAATACAATATTATTTATAATAAATAAAAAGCCAAGGTTTTAATCTATCAAATGATGCATTATATTACACTGCTTTCTGTACAGAGAATTCTCAATCATGCTTTCAGTTCAAACTTTATTCCTACAGGAAACACATTGATGGGCTTAGCCAAATTTTTAATGGCTCTTTTTGCATAGTTAGAAAGCCAGAAATGTTGTAATAGTTATGGGACATTGTCTACTTTATGGATAAGATTGTTCTCTGCTCTTTGGTATATTATTTAATTAAAGAAAAGGTTATATAGTGCAGTGGTACCATTAGTATAAAAAAAGTATGTTTAGATGTCATCGACAGTCAAAAGCATAAAGTAAGTACTTTATTCCTTATTTGTCATGTGGATTTTTTATTTATTAATATAAAAGTAACTAAAATATAAAAATTGGAAACTTTTTAGGTTAGATAAGGTAAGATAAAGAATAATAATTTTTCACAAGGTACATTATGTAATTTAATATATCTTACTGTGAGTTGCACGTTTGCTGTGTGATTTACAACTTATATGTCATGAAAATTTGTTAGACACTGTTCAAAGGGTAATAAAACAATAATATTTCAGTATAAATAGATGTACACTTTTAAAAATTTAAAGTTATCAAGGATACCCAAATGTAGTTTCATGTTAGAATTTGAAGTCATTCTAGAAAATAAAAATAGGATAACTGAGATTTTTTTTTTTTCTAATGGTGGTTA